TTGTCCTGCCCTGCCTGTTTGCCCCACACTCAGCTGGGGTCTCAGCTTCCACCGGGCTCAGCTCTGCCTCTGCTTTCTCAGTGAGGGCAGGCCGCGAGCTTGCTCCCTTGGTCACAGCACTTAAGCCAGTGTGACTCTCATCTCCAGTGTAGAGATTGGTTGGGGCCATTCCTCCATCCCACTCAGAAACAGGTGTCTGATTACAGACAGAAAGTTGTCCTGAGTTAACCCCCTTTTCTCTGTGTTGCAAGCCAGAGGGAAACTCCCTCTGTCTCCCCCGCCAGCCCACCTATTTGCATTTTCACTGACACCTCCTCTCTGAGCCTTTTGGCTCCCTTGGTTCAAATCCTGGGCTGGTACAGAAACTGGGCGTGGATTTTGTCTTAAAGAGATACAGTCGTTCCCCAAAAGGATGTCAAAGCTGATATCCTGGAGGATCCTAACTACCAGCCACTCTGATTCTTTCTGTGTCTGCACAGGGATCTGAGCCAGAGGCAGGGGAAATAACCCAGGTTACACAGCCCGTCAGCATCTGATGAGGTTTTACCACCAGGGTTTGACAAGGGTTCTCTCTGTCCCAGAGTCTCTCCACCCCACAAATGTCTTCCCATTAAGTACCACATTCTGCTCCCACTGGAGAGCAGAAGAGGCTGAGCCCAGGAGAGCACAACAAGATGTGTTACTGGTGCCTGGAGTGGGAGCCCATCTGTGCCCCCCGAGGAGCTGCCTGGGTGACTGCTTTCCTCCACAAGCTCAGTCACACAATTCACTCTCAGAGCCTGAGCTACAGGCTGCCTTGGCTGTGAGAGGTTGAGTTAGTCCTTCTGTCCTGGGCTTTCACCAAGTTAACCCTTTGAGGGTCCTGTTTGGCCACTATTTCATCAGCCCTGTCCGCCTTACAGATATTACACCTCAGGTCTGAGATCCCTGGGAGGAAGTCTACCCCCATTGGCTGCTCCCCTAACTTTGGGTTTAACTGAATCCCACTTCTGGGGCACCTCTGCTGGTTCCCTTTCCCAAGTCCCCTTTGGGTTTGTTTTCATAGCCAGATGGACTGTCCACAAACTCATCTGCCAACTGGCCTGCATGATGCAGATCCTTAGGCTTCCTGTCCGCTAACAACATTTAAGCTTGTAGGGACAGATCCCAACCAGATTGTACAAATCCTCCAACGCAGTGACAGCTGCACCCTTACCTGGTTTGTGGAGATAGTCTCCCCTCAGGGGGGTGGCTTTTTGAACTGTTCATAGTCCCCAGTATCAACTCTATGTATCTGGCTATACGCCTCTAGGGCTTTGGGACCGAGCAAGGGGGTGAGCCAGTGGAGCCGGTTCACAGGGTCAGCCAGGTTCAACCCGCAACTCTTCAAAGTCAGTGAGGTCAGCATTATATCCCCCCCTCCTTAAACTGGGCAACAATTTGGTATCTAGACTTCCTGCAGAAATGGCATCCTGGGGTCTTCCCCCCCCCCCCCCGCATCTCCATCTCTAGTTCATGCTTCCTGTGCTTCTCACAGTCCTTCGTTCTCAGCTCCAACTCCCACCACCTCAAATCTATTGCTGGGGAACCAGGTCGTGCCAGGCCCTGCTGGACAGGGACCTGAGTCTTGGGGATGCCCTGCTGCTCCCTCTGTCATTCTCGGACCTCTTGAAACCCTGTCTGGAACCTGCTTCCTGGACTGATCACCTTTCTCCAGACATGCCATCAGCTGTGTCTTGTTGCGTTTCCCAACACTTAACCCTCTCTCCCTGCACAGGTTTGCGATGTCCTTCTTATGGAGGTGGTCATAAGACATTTTCTTGCTGTTTCCTTTGACTTACCTTGTTTTACTGCTGCAAGTCACTTATTGCAAAATACTACTGGTGCATTCAGCAATGCATCCCACTACTACCACCAACTGTCGCAGATCCACAGCATCAGTGCTACGCCCCCAGCATTGGGACAGTCTCTAGGAGATACCCCTTCGGTGTGCCAGACTCCCAGGAGGTCTCACACTTCCTCCAGGGTAGGCCACATGGCCTGACCACCTCCTTAGACTGGACCTCTGGGCCGTCAGCTCCCCTGCTTCATACTATGAGCTCTGTTCAGCGAGTTCAACTGAAATAGATTCCTGGTAGAGACTTGTCCACTCTGCAGGGACTAATGCACCTCAGCAAGCATTTGCAATGACAACCAAACAGCACTGTCAAAACAGTCGGGTTTGTATGAATCAACTGGAACGCAGCATGGGAAGTTCTTAGGTTGGCAGAGAGAACTGAAGGTTAAAACACAGACCATTCTGGTCAGCCCAGAGCCCAGCCAAGCTGTAGTGAACCCCACTGCCCAAACTCTGTCTGTCTCCATCCAACTTCCTTGGTCAGTTCCCAGGTGAGAGAGACTCCTCCCAGCAGCCTACTCTTATCCCCCACCTCACACCTCCCCAGTCCTTTGTTCTCGAGCTGGGGCACTGCTCAGCTTTCCAGCTGAGGTGGGGAAATCCATCGCCCTTTGGGGCCTTGGTTGCTAGGTGTCGATGTCCTGGTGACTGGATTTGCCTTTGTCTTTTCAGATTCTGCACTGATATGGGGCTGGCCTCAGCTAGTCCTTTTCAGTGACTCATCCCAGCTCAGACAGCCAGATGACATCCATACCATTGTCTCTGAGCCTGCCCTGGGAGCAAACAGTCCATTTCCACCCACGGGGTAACAACATAGCATATGGGGGAAACTGAGGCACATGTGGGAGTCATAAAAATATTACAGGAAATTCCCAGTTGGTCCCAAAGGGTCCCTGAAGAGGGACAAGGATGAGGAGTGGACAGGCGGGTGGAGCTGAATTGGATGGATTATCCTGTTGAAACCATTTCTTGGATCCATCTGTCTGAAATGATGAGATCCCAAGAAGGTAGGAAATGGGAGAGATGGTTTCCATAGGGTGGATGGTGGGTGGCTTGGAGCACCATAAGATCCAGAGTAGGGGGTGATTCATGACCCCCTACCCGTGGGTCAAAATGGCCACTTGGAGGAGGTCGCCGGTGGGGAGGACAGTGTGAAATGTGGACCTCTTTTTAGGTGGTTCTGCTGGTCTCGGGGAGGCTTGGTACTGATCTGGATGAGATCGTTGTGCCATCTGCAACTTGCTGTGTTTTCTTTTCTTTTCTTTTCTTTTTGCAGGGGTGTATGCATGGAGGGCTCGCAGAGTCACTCTAGAGCCCCCAGGTGAGTGGCAGGATTCATCGGGGTCGTCACTGAAGAGCTTGGGCCCTTCGAAAGGAAGGTTCCTCCGTGGTATTTTGCATCTCCCTGGGAAGGCCTGGAGCCTGCAGCCAGAAGGCTTGAGGCGTGACAAAGGTGTGAGGCTGTGCCTGTCACATGGAGAGAAGCCTGTAAGGAAGCTTTAGTGATTATCAGGCCTTCTGTGACCACAGCCTGACACGGATCCCTTTGGGCCTGAGGCAAATGATCAATCCAAAGTGAAAACTCGCTGTCATTTGGAAAGTCACATTTTCCCATCAAGGCAGGACAGTTGGCAGCTCTGAACTGGAGAGCAGCTGAGGAATGGCTCTTGCAGCCAAGAAGCCCCAAACGCTTGAGTTCTTTATTGGAGGGAGTCGATCTGGATTGACACTGTCCATTTGTTTCATTGAGAGCGTTGACTACCAGGGAGTTTGGGGTTGGATGGGTACATAGTACTTTTTGTCTGCCTTGTTGCATGTGGGTGGTATGGTAGCTGGTGTATGCTATACCATATGGCTGGTGAGAGTAACGTGTCATAAATGAGCAAGCCAATCTTGCCTTGGGAGGAGGTATGTAAAATACTCAACCAGGGAGCATTGTCTAAAGGGCTTGGCCAGGCTTCTGATATTCTTTTATCAGCTCTTGAAAGGCCTTGAAATCCTCTGCATAGGGTGGGGGCCTAGTCAGGTGTTGGATAGTGGGGTCTCATCTCTTACCTCCTGCTCCTCTCGGGGGTGTCCTCCTGGGGAGGAGGGTCCTGAGGTACCAGTAGCTGCTGATCCAGATGGGTCCTCTTGTGTGAGGGCACCTATAAAATTGTTCACCATAAGGGGCCCAAGGGTTCCAAAAACCCACAGTGGTGGAGCACAGAGGAAAGGAGTGGTACCCCAAGGGTGTTCCTACCAAGGTTGATGGGTAAGACATTGGCTGGTTCCTGAGGTCTCCTCCTAGGAGCAGACCTCTAGGGAGGGAGGTTGGAATGGGAAAATGGTGGAGTCCTGGACAGAAATATCCAAGTCCAAGAGTTGTCATCTCCCATATCCAGAGGGGAGCTACTGGTGTTGGTACTGGGGGTCGTGTTGGTATTGGTGGTTGAGTCTTTGTAGCATCACCAGGGACTCTGGTTTGAGGGGTGTGTGTTGGTACCAGCTGTCATCAGATGTTTAGCTGTATGTGTGTTCTTTCTGCGTACTGTACTGACTCTAGCCAGAAAGCCCGTACAGAAGGCTCTGATCGATCGGCCCAATAAATCCACAGACTCGGTTCATAGCGAAGGCACTTGGTCAGGTTTATTGTCAACGAAGCACTTCTAATGGCCTGGCTCAATGGTTACAGGTACACTAACACATGTATGCCTGTTGCAATGGACTAGCTCAGTTAATAGTGGGACTTTCCATTATCCCCAGGCCAGCCAAAGACACTCCCTCTGAGATATCTTTTAATACATCAGTACAAACGAGTTACACATTGCCCCTCTGCTGTAGTTAGTTGATACCCTCTGATGTAGCCAGTTACCTCCCATCACCTTGTACGTCTCTATCCATCACACTGTTATCCTGACCTTATCTGTAGGATGGGTCAGTGTGTTCCTGTTCTCTTTGGGGAATGTGTTTGGCATCGAGGTGTTCTGGTACCACCTTCCTGGAATGTGCTTGTGTTTATATTCTTATGCCTAGCAGCACTTAGGAATGTGTGTTTCTGCAATATCAGCCCTGTTCTTGCCAGATTCTGGGAGCAGGGCCTGCCTCTTGCTCACAACTTAACTTTGCTTTATAGCAGCAAAGTTTTGACTACTTTAGCCCAGGCCTCAGGCCTCAGACCAGGCCTCTGATACATGGGCTTGCTTCAGGCCCTGTTCCTATGACATCAGCAAGCATGGTCAATATCCCTCAGCAGAGGGGATTCGGGGTCTTCCATGACTCAGAGATCCTCACGGGAGAGCCACCTGGTTGGTAATGGTGACCCTGTTCCTGAGGGTGAGGCCCGCTGAGCAGTGCTGGGGATGGCACAGGTGAACGCTTCGTGCGCTCTCTGTGGCTGTGACCTGGGGAAGACGATACCGGAGCACGTGTCTAAGAGGATTTCTTTAAGCCGACCCTCTGTTTGGAGGGCTCTGGTCAGAGGACTCCTGTTGGTCCTAGGGCAGGGAGAAGCCTCAGCAGTCTCCACAGCAGGATGTGAGGTCTCCGTGCTCCCTGGCCTTAGAGGAGACTTTTCCCTCCTTTGAGTCTCTCTCTGGTGAATGGGGCCTTTTCCTCCTCTGAAGCTTCAAAGTATCCTAAGCTGCACCTAAGCTCTTCAGCCCCGGAGTGCCCCCCCGAGCAGCTACACCGATGTATGGGGGTGGGGGGGAGAGGAAATCAGACCCCACAGCTCTCAGGGAACGCTCCAGAAGTCTTCCCTCAGCTCCCTGTGTCTGCTCTCAAAGCTGGAGCAGCCCCTTTACTTAGAGGGGATGTGGGGCTCTCCGAGGTAGCGGAGGCAGCCGGAATGGTCTGTGACAGGTCTGGCAGGGTTTGAACCCAGGGGTTTTGGCCTAACCCACCTGGGGAAGGCCACCAACAAACGGCGCTGAGGTCAAAGCAGGCCCTGATTACAACGAAAGGGGCGGGGAGCCCCCGAACACCCAAGTCTGTGCTAAACAACAAACAAAAGAAGGAGAAACACGTCCAGAAATAGAAGAATAAAAGTGAGTTGTGCGGCTAACCAGCAGCGCCGCAACGCTCCACCTCGAGCCGCAGACAGCTGGGAAGGAACTGACTTGTGGTGGTGAGTGCACCCCTCCCTCTGGCCCTTTGTACTGGAGCCCGAGGATGTGTGGGGCACAGGCATGGATGCGCAGCCGCTGCTTCCAGCCCCATTTCTGCCAGCAGGGACCCCTGTGCCAGCACCCCTGGAGCCTAGGAAGGGGTTGGGCCTGAGCGTCCAGTGAAAGCACTGGCTACCTTCACCGGGAGCCCTGCACACAGCTGTTGCTGAGAGTGAATGTGGCTCCTGGAGAAGTCCTCCCCTTCCAGGTGCGGCTGGGCCTTGGATCAGCTAAACCGCAGCCCCCAGCCCCTCTCCAGATTCCAAGTGCAGGTTCTGCATACATTCACTGGGACAGCAGCCCCCTCCCTCCGCCCCGTGTTCACCCGCCTGCGTGGCACAGAACTGCGTGGGAGGAGGCTTGGCTGCTTGGGCTGCTGGCTCGGAGGTGATACAGGAGGCCATTAGGGACTGGGCAGGGAACCAGTGACTTATGCCCCATTTAAACTGTCCTTAGCAGGCGTCGGCTCAGCTCCTGGAGGAGTGGGGAAGCTCACACTTCTCTGAGTCATCGTTCAGGCTACTGGCAGACTCCGGAAGGTGAACTGGCATCAGTGACACCTGCTTCAAGTATTCAAGGACTCACTATCTTCCCTACATGACACCACCATTCTGCAGCAGGAGGCAGACTCTTGGAGAGGAAATACAGGACACCATGGCCTTGTTTACATGGGCGGGTGACTGGGTATACTCATGATTCTGCCATGGACTCACTTAGCCTTGGGCAAGCCATTTCCCCTCTTTGCGCCTCAGTTTCCCCTCTAGAGATGGGGATAATGTGACTCAGCACTTTGAGCTCCGCCTAGGAAAGATGACAGGTAAAGAGAAACTTCCTGTTCCTGAAGAGAGCACATATCTACGCAGCCGCTCGCTAACACCCCTTGGCCAGCTCCACAGATACCAGCTCGAGTCCGTCAAACAGCTGTTCTGTGGCCAGCGGGAGAAGTCTGGGGCCTTGGCCTAGACAGGCAAAGCACCAGCACGGCTTGGCAAGGAGACTGAGCGCCCCCTCCAGGCCAGGGGTGAGGTGCGCAGGTAAACAGGCAGCGTGACGGACACTGACGCTGCTGCTATGGGTGCAGGGGCTGGTGTGGGGACAAACCCAGCCACCTCCAGGACCAACACCCTGTCACCGGCAGGGCAACTGTGCCGACTGAGACGCCCTCGGACTGAAGTGTGAGGCTGATACAAGGTGCGGACGGGTTTATTGGACGTTGTCTGCGCCTGGACACTCCCACATAGCTACAAGCATTTGGCTGGGCGGGGGAATGGCCAGGAGCAGGCAGTCCCAGGCTCGGCTCCAGGCTTACGACCAGGTTTCCATCTGGAAGCGATGGGATCTTTCCAAGGCTGTTAGATACTCCTCGGCTTCTGAGGGGGACAGGTCCCCTTCCAACTGGAACACGGATTTTAGGGCTTCTGCTACTGCTGCCGGCATTTGCTTGGCATTTCTGGAAGAGAGAAAGTCTCTATTGTAACTGCAAAGCAGAACACAGGACAGTCTTAACACATCAGCCCCTCCAGCTCCCCCGTAAGGCCAGTTCAGTTCATTCCTATCACTGATGGGGCGGGGCAGGGCTTTCTCTGCAGTCCCCCCGTTGCTTCTCCAAGGCCCCATGCTGGGCTGGATACAGCTCTCTGTCACTCCCAGAGCTGCGCAGTAAGGGTTGCTTTCAGCTTTGTTGGCCCGGTCGTGGGACCAAACCCAGCTGTGCTGTCCTGACCAGTACAAGGGCGAGCTCCATCGTAGCGACACTCAAGCCCTTTCTCCAGCCCTGCCGTGAGCACGCAGCTATTCCCAGCAGGGCTAACCTGGCTCCCCTTGATGCAGCCCATCGGCTGCCTTGTGGGCCAGTTCCTGTGCGGTGGCTTTATAACCATGCACGGCGTCAGAGCGCCCCCAGGCACGGCGCTGGACACAAGCCCCCTACAAGCTTACACTTGAACTAATGCGCTCGCCAGACAGGGGGGTCCAGCGCCCAGCAGGGAGTATGTGCCTGTGGGGACTCAGCTGAGGCACATGGCTACGAGCAGGGGTTCCCGGGCATTAGACTCCTCGGCACAACAGGGGCAGCCTGTCCGGCTTTGCACTGAGGGAGGCCGAGGGGCTTCCCGGATACATAGACCCAAACCAAACCTTGGGTTCCAAAAGCCGTTGTGGCCATTCCCTGGCGAACGGGGCCACTATCTCAGTTCAGCTCCAAGCTCAACCCTCAAAACCAAGGACACGGCCAGCTACGGAGTCATGGACTCACCCCCCCCACATCACAAACCACAGTATAAAGCCGGGCCGTTTCGTCACAGCGCAGCAGCCTTAAGGTGGCCCTGTAGACTGTTGGGGTTTTCCGAGTATTATTTCATGTATGTATGTATGTATGTATACATCTATTGTCTTTAGAGTGATTTTGATCACCAAGGATCTTCTCTGAAGGGATTTCTTAGGTGGGAGATATCCCTCACTATTTAGTAATTGGCGGTGGAATATGATACTGGCGTATCTAGGGCTGCCACGGATCTTCTGTAGTCTGCAGAAGAGGGTCAGGATAGCAGGAGAGTGTTGGCTTGTTTGGAGTCCAGGGCCGCCCTTATAAACTCACGTGGCTTTGGTTAGCCACCAGCATGGATTTTGGCAGGCTGCCTACCAGCCCTATGGCCTGAATCAATTTGCTGACCACAGTTAGAGCTGAAAGGCCTCCTGAGACAATCTACATTGAATCAGTCAGTCAGCCAGGTGGCTACGCAGACTCCCAGGGTCCTGAGCAGAATGCCCATACAGGCAGGCATTCAGTGAAGACCCTTGGGACCATGGACAGGCTGTATGGTAGCACTGGGTGATGATATTGTCTGCCCCTTACTATGAAACAAAGGTCCCCTGCGAGCTGGGTGAACCGTGATGTCCTGCAAGTCCAGAGTGACGCGCTCCGGAGGAGGATCTCGGGAGGGCATGAGGGAGGTTCATGTCACTGTCTGGAACTTCAGATGTTTCCTGGACTTGCCCAGATGTCTGTATCCCACGATGGGGGGCAGTCCTTTCTGCGGGACGCATTACCTTCCATCAGCCCTTCCGCAGGAGTTAGCCACGGTCCTTTGCTGGCTCTACAGCACCTTCATTTATGGGTACGGCCACTGCATCCACTTCTTTGGGCTGCAGGGTGTCAAAGAGACTGTGGGATTTCTCTTGTCTCTCCGACCATTCTGAGTCTAGGTCTGTGAAACTGTGCCAAGCAGCTGGTCAATGAACCTGACCCTCACAACTTTAAATCCAGGCTGGGGGGGTTCTAAACCATCTTCGCGAGTTCAAACAGGAATTAATTCAGGGCAGTCCTATGGCCTGTATTCTACAGATCAGAATGGAGGACGACGGGTGTGACAGAATATACCGGGGTGGCCAAACTTACTGAGCCGCCGAGCCACATACCATAATCTTCAGAAGTTCAAGAGCTGGGACACACCAGCCGGGGCTCGGGGCTTCTGCCCCGCAGGAGGCACCAGCCGGGGCTCGGGGCTTCTGCCCCGCAGGAGGCACCAGCTGGGCTTGGGGCTTCGGCTCTGCTCCAGCTGAAGCCCCAAGGCCTTGCAGGTGCTCCCCGTGGGGCTGAAGCCCCGTCACCGCCCTCCATGCTGGGCAGAAGCCCCTATCCCACCACCCTGCTGCAAGGTAGGGGTCCCGAGCTCCCCCCAAGTCTGGTAGGTGGCGAATGGGTGGGGGTGGGGCTCTGTAAAAGAGCCGCATGCAGCTCGCGAGTCACAGTTTGGCCCCCCCGGAATATACCCATGTCCACTACAAAGGACACAGCAGGCCTGGCAGGGTATCGTTTGAAAACTCATAATTTGCTGGTCATTATTGTCCTAGTAAAATACGTATGGCAACGTTGTATGTGAATTACTCACACACGTTCCAAGTCTGGGGAGTGGCCAAACCAGTTCCTCGGAGACAAAGGGCAAGCTGATGCCTCAGCCAGGTGTAAACAAGGTCAATGGGCTAAGTCAACCTGCTAAGTGGCCAATCTTTAGCAGGAAAGATGAAAACTACATCTTAGCAAAGAAACAGCATGGAGTTCCCGTCCACAGAGTCTGCCTGTCCCTGTGCTCCCAGCAGGACATGCTTCTCAAAGGGAGGACGGGACGATAAAGGGAAGGGGCAGACATCCCAATAGATCCCCTCCTCCTCTCTCTCTTTCTGTGCATCGATTCACTGCACCAGAAGGAACAAGAGAAGCAGCCATTACATAGAAGAAGGGGTCCTGGCTGAAGACGTTTGGCCAGTAAGACTCTTGAGAGCATATGGTGAGAAAAGCTTCACCTGGAGTTTCACAGAGTTTGTTACGTTAGCCATTAGTTGCGTTTTATCAGTATTTTTCTTGTAACATTTCTGACTTTTATGCCTCATTACTTGTATTCACTTAAAATCTATTTCTTTGTAGTTAATAAACTTGTGTTATTGTTTTAGCTAAGCCGGTGTGTTCCAGAAACTCCATCTGGGGTAACAAGATTGGTGCATATCAATCTTTCCGTTCATACAATGATGGATTTTATATGAGCCTGTCTTGTCCAGGAGAGGGCTGGCAGTACGAGACGTACATTTCTGGGGAAAGCCTGGGCCGGGAGCGTGCTGGGGTCCTGCAGTATAATGCAGAGCCTGGGTGTGGCTGGTACACACAGCTGAAGCTGGGAGTGACTTACCTGCTGGAGGCTGTTTGTGAGCTGTAGCAGCAGCAGAGCAGTGAAAAGGGCAGCCCACGCTAGAGGGCAGGGGTGACTCAGCTACTCACTGGTCTGGATTGTGCTCTGGGTATGTCCCAACAGGGTTCCCCACTGGCCTGGGAACCGATGAGTGTGTGTCACTGGGACACCTACCCTAGGGACTGTCTGGCAACACCAACCCCCACTGAAAGACAAAACACGGAGTAGGGGGTGGTCACTGCAGTGCCCAGACTCACGGACATGGGTGGCAGGAAGCGGCTGGGGCTGCCCTGACAGACTCTGAGCCCACGCACACAAGGCACATGCCCAGACAGGTCTCGCTCCCCTTTGGGTACCTAGCGCTGGAGCCAGGTGCCTGGGGGTCGGCTCCTCCATTTGAAAACGGTGGCCAGTTGGTCTTTGGGATGACAGAGTTTTGAAATGTTCCCTGAACCTTAAACCGGAGGGTTTCCGGTCAGAGGACACTGCTCATCCAGGCAGCCAGCGGGAGAGGTGCCCCGGGGAGGATGGCATGTCCTGGGTGGCCAAGGGAGACCTAGTGCGCACTTCCAGGACTGCAGAGGAGGTCAGTCTCACCCCCAGGATCAGCGGAGAGGTTCCTGTTCTTGTTGTGGATTGGCAGGAAGCTGAGAGGAACGGTCCCTCCTGCTATTGCTATTAATGAGGACAGAACTAACGATACTCCGTGTTAACGTAGCACTTTACATGCTCCCGGTGCTGGACGGACATTACATCTGCCTTCCCTAGCCCCATTCACCCGCTGACCTCACAGCACTTCCCAGACGTCAGCGATGCCACGTAACTCCCCTGAGTGTGAGACAGCAAGTCTTACCCTCATTCAACAGATGGGGGACTGAAGGTGGACAGGTGACGTGACTTGGCGTGGGTCAGCAGCAGAGCCAGGAATAAGCCCAGATCTCCTGGCTCCCCAGCCTTGCTCTAACCACTAGACCCCACTCTTTGATTAACAACCGTCGGGATTTGACTGGGCTCAGGTCAGAATTCGTGAGCACCCGGTTCTGGGCAGAGATCTCAGGGGCTGTTTCGAGGCAGCTGCACAATGTTTAGCCAGTGACAAGGCTCATGAGTGTAACCTGGCTACAATGCAAGGCAGGGACGGAGTCAGGCAGCACGTGGAGGCCTGGCCAGAGGGGAGAGAGGCTGCTCCAGGAAGTCATTCTCCCAGGTACTAACGGAGCGAGGCAGGAAACTCTAAGGAGCTAGGGAAGCTCCTATTCCTAAGCCACAGCACAGAGGCTGTCTGACATGGCGCACTGACATGGGTTACTGGTGATTTGGAATCGGATTGGCTCTCCTATGAGATGGGGCTTTAATAGTTTTATTCTTTCCTGAAGATTACGTTGGGCTCTTCCTTTCCCTGGGCCTTACCCTGGGATCCCAGAGGGCTCTGTGTGTATGGAGGGCCAGGCGGGCAGGCTTGGATGAGATACTGTGAGCGGCAGTACCACGGCTATGCTGGAGGGGATACTGATTGGCAAAGAGAAGCACACCCTTCTGAAGGAACTGGCAATGACCACCAGGAACATGTTGCCAAGAAGACTGGAAGTCTTAGGGTCTCGCTGGCTGTGTCTTCACTCCTGTAATCCCACACAGCAATGGTGGCCCCTGCCGGCAGCTGGCAGACATCCTCTCTCGTCTCGGATGTGGGCCACACCGTGCTCACTCGTGTCTGTCACCCTCAGCCACATTAACGTAGCTCTGTTTGGGACTGAAAGCCTCAGCTGGTGCAGGATGTGCCTGGGGCACACTGACAGGTATATTGTGTGTGCTCTGCATTGGTTGACAATTGACTGCTGAGTGCCTGGCTGTTTATAAGGCCCTAAGTGGTCTAGGCCCCACTAATCTCAGGCTACGTCTTCACTACCCGCCGATCCGGCGGGTAGCAATCGGTCTATCGGGGATCGACTTACCGCGTCTAGTGAAGACGCGATAAAATCGATCCCTGATGGCTCTACCGTCGACTCCGGAAATCCACCGCGGCAAGAGGCGGTAGCGGAGTCGACGGCGGCGCAGCAGCGGTCGACTTGCCGCCGTCCTCACAGCCAGGTAAGTCGACCTAAAATACGCCACTTCAGCTACGCTATTCACGTAGCTGAAGTAGCGTATCTTAGGTCGACCCCCCGCTGTAGTGTAGACCTAGACTCAGAGTGACGTGGCCCAGGGTGCTCGGGTGGAACTCACAGGGAGCTCGAGAGGGGAGGGTATTTTTGTGTCATCTCCTTAGTAATAATGCTGGTTCGCACTTGCACTACAGAGCCTCAAGTCACCAGGGTTGGGGTACCGTAGTCAGGCTCTCTCCCCTGTGGAGACGACTGGAATCCGGTTTGCAAATGATCCCTGGCTCCCAGTCCCTTAGGCAGGTCCTCTGGCCATCAGCACAGTATGTTCTGTTCGGGGAAATCCCTGGACTTGTGAGTTCTGTGCAAGGTGCTCAGATACCATGAGCATGGCCCTCAGAAGTGTGTGTTCTCAGTTCATGAAATACTGCGATCACACAGGGAGAGGTGTGCAGGGAGGCTAACCCCAACCGACTGCTTCCAGCTACCAAACCCATCTACAGCTCTACCCAACCCCACTTCCTGCCAGCGCCTGAACCAGCCGGCTGTGCCCATGGCAGGCTGTGCCCACTTCGCTCTGCTAGGGCCTCGCCTGGCAGCCTGTGCTGATGGGAGTGCGGGCCGCTTAGCTCCGCAAGGTCTTGCCCTGCCCTGTCTCTTGAGGCACCGCTAGCCTGTTAATGGGAGGAAAGATGGTGCCCAATTATAATGTGAACCAGACCTGCCGTGGGAGAGCAGCACTCCTGGTGCAGCGAGATACTCACCCCGCCAGGTAGATGTGAGCGTTCCCACGGCTCAGCAGATCCCAGACCAGTCCTTTGTTCTCTCTAATTCGGTGCTGAACATAAATCTTCTCCTCCTGCAGGGAAACACACACCCCATGCTAGCCAGCAGCCATGTCCGGTTATTGGCATAGACACCAGAACTAATGCACTTGCCCATCCCTGGGGTGAGAGCAGATTGCACCGGTCAGTTATTTCCAGTGTTTCAACAGGCCAGTTTATACAATGGACATCAGAGGGCATCAATCCAGGCACTTGGTAGGCGCTACAGAACAAGGCCTTACGATCTCTGCTCACACAGGAGATCCTCAAGCTCACAGACAGACGAGGTCCGGGGGGACGCGGCACTGGGAGATGGGCACAGCAGAGGGATCACACGTGGAGCTGAGTGGCTGTCATAAATGGTTTCCTTTCAGGACACCGATCCCGTCCCTGCTCCTCCCCCGCAAGCAGCTGTTTGCACGGGACGAGGTGCTGCCAGGCCATAAGTCAGAGAAGCTGCAAGGAGCAGGGTCCCTAGAAGCATCCCCTTCTCCCGCAAGCCAGCGCTGAAATAAGCAGGCAGCGCCGCACTTCTTTAGACAAGCCCAGCAAGGCACTCCGGCCAGAGAGAGTCCTGCACCTGGCCTGACTGCAGCTCCCCTACCTCACCTCTAGTGCCAGTGTTTGAGACCGTCCTGCCGGCATCTGCTCCATGGCCAACCCGGGCTGTGAACCTGACTGCCAGAATCTGCTCCAAACCCCACTCCCCTCCGGGCCTAGCGCTAGCTGGTGCGGCGGAGAAAGTGGGCAGGGCTGAGAGGAGGAGACCAGGCTGACTAGGCGATTACCTGATTCAGTGCATCTCCTAAGCAGCCTCCCTCCAGCTGAGCTCCTGTGGAGCATGGGCAGGGATTTAAAGCTGCCCTCCCGAGGCAGAATTCCCAGGGGAGAATGACAGAAGCACCACTGCCTCTGATGCAGCTATGCCCACTGGAGACAGCCTGGCAGCCAGTGGCCCAAGCACAGCAGGGCACTAGGATATCAGACATCTAACTGCTCGTGCTCCACCGCGGTCTGCCTGCATGCAACCCAGAGACACATCCAGGGGCCTGCGGGCCACTGGGTGAGGGAGAGCATCTCCCCAGGGTTCCCTCTCTGCCATTGGAGAGGGCTGAAACAATCTCACTGGAGTTGGGTGGGCACTGGGTGCACCTCTCAAACCTGCCAGGGGTCTTTGGCATTGGAGACATAGCTGGGTGCAAGCCCAGGAGATTGCTGTCTTTTGCCGCTTTAGTCTGGCCCTGTAATGGTTTCTGCTTTCAGCAGGGAGGCTGGTCTGGGCAAGATCCCCTGCCAGACGTCCCTGGCTCAAACACCCTCAGTGGTTTCAGTAACATTCCCCCAGCCACTACACGGCACCCTGCAGTGTCACACTTCAGAGTAACTCAGAGAAGTGGAGCAAGGTCCCATGGGAAGAAAATGGAAGGGAAAAAGGAATTCAGGAGAGCTGGCAGTTCCTCAAGGAGACAATATTGAAGGCACAACTGCACACTATTCAGATGCGAAGGAAAAATAGGAAGATTAGTAAAAGGCCAATATGGCTCCATCAGGAGCTCTTTAATGACCCAAAAGTCCAAAAGGAATCCTACAATAAGTGGAAACATGGCCAAATGGATAAGGAAGAGTACAAAAGAAAATAGCGCAAGTGTGTAGGGGCAAAATCAGAAAGGCTAAGGCACAAAATGAGTCACACCTGGCAATAAGAAGTTCTTTAAATACATTAGGAGCAAGAGAAAGACAAAGGAAAGTGTAGGTCCTCTACTTAGCGGGGAAGGAGTGCTAACAACTGATGTCATCAAGAAAGCTGACAGGTTTCAGAGTAGCAGCTGTGTTAGTCTGTATCCGCAAAAAGAACAGGAGTACTTGTGGCACCTTAGAGACTAACAAATTTATTAGA